AATTAAATCGAATTTATCACAAGATTTTCTTTCATCATATAATCCATTATTTGTACCAATGATGTATGCATTAAGTATTTTAATGCTTTTACCTGTTATTATTCAACATCATCGTCATAAAAAAGCTCAATTATTACAACGACGCAAAGAATTAAGACGTCTCTCAATGACAATAGTGCAAGATAATCGAAATCCGCAACAAAATTTAGCTAAAAGTGTGTTATCAAAAATTGTAGAAAATGACAATATTAATAATGAAAATATTCCAATAGATGTTGAACTTATGTCATTACGATCAACAAAAACAATACTTGATGATATAGATGATAATGTTAATTCGACATCTAAATTACAAATTCTTCAACCACTTATATATAACTATGATGATGATGATGATGATAATGATATCAATAAACAATCTGGTGTTAATGCTCATGATTGTATTGCACATCTTTTAGATAATACACCATGGAATACGTCACATATTGACGAACCACTCATTACTAGTTCATCTCGGCATTCAGTTGTCCGTGATTGTACTACAGTAATAAAAGAACAACATGTTCCAACTATAATTCCATTTCATAATGATGATGATGATAATAATAATCAAAAATTTACCATAGGATCTAATACAGATTCTACAATAAATTTACAAATGATAAACCGAGTTTTTCTCGAATCAGATGTATAATATATGATATTTTTATTCGGTTTTTTTTCATACTGATATGTATACGTATGGGTATATTTGACAATAAAAGAAGAAATATCAACTCAAGAAATATTTTTAATCACAAAATTTTATCCATTATTGTAAAAAATAAGATATGTTTTTGTCAGCAACGTCAAAGCTCGAAAAAATGTACACTTTAGCTAAAATCTTCTACCAATATATGAAACTTAACGTATCTTACAAAATGTCACGTATATCAGTAGTAACAGGAAAAGAAGGGGTGGGTATAGGATCTGGGTGTATGTTATGTGTGGGGGTGAGTGACGACTATCTGAAGAAAAAAAAGCATTTGCTCCAAACAAAATTAGTCTTAACTTGTTTCTTATTCTATGCTAGTTCAGAATAAATTAGAATTTTTTCGATTTTTCCATTACCCGATTTTCATCTATAGATGTTGATAGTGAGAAGTAAGGAAATATCTTCCTGGTTTATTTAGATTACTTCGGCTCAAAAATTGCTGCATATTGACTTAGAAAAAAGTGTCTAGATATATGGTGCCCTCCAATATTCATATTTGATATTGATTCGATGATTCATCGAGCTGTGAGTACGTCTTACTTACTAAGCATGACGATGGTTAATAACACAGAAGCAATAAACAAATCAGCGAAAAAGAAAAAAAACTAACCAATAATTCATTTTAACGATGCATACTGTTTGGACGTAAGGAGCAGTTATGAATAATAAAATTCCATCATCTCTTCTGAAACTACCTGTCAAGCTTGTCTATCGTATCCTGGACAATCTTGATGACTTCACACTCTGATATTTAGTTCGTAACGTATGTACACAGCTGAATATGATCACTGATACATATCATCGATATCAGGTAAATTTCAGCATTATGATAGAGTCAGATTACTTACATCTTCAAAACATTATTTAGTTCAATAGATGATTATTTTCGTTATTTTGGTTATCGATTTTAGATTAGTAATTGTTCGATGACCTTATTTTAAAATTAATGAATATTACTCAAAAAAAAAGTCGGGCCTCTTGTTAAATGCCTCTGTCAATTCCATCTTAGAGTAACACAATTATATGTGTATATCTTTTACAAAAAGCATTTCCAAACAATGAACACTCACAATCACTCAAGTCATATATTTGAACATCGTCAAAGTTCATTGTGATAGTGATCATGAGTTCAATAAGATGAAACAATCTCAATGTTAAAAATTAACATGATAAACAAGCCGAATTACTGATCTATCAAAACGAAGAAAATCCTTTTCTCAAACGTGCAACGTTTCAAATTTATCATTTAGTCTCATGAGTTTTCACGAGTCAACTGTCTGCTGAACAATATCCAACAGTCAGAATGATTAATACTTTGCGTTGCACTGCGTTTGCTTGAGAGATATTGTTGAATCAAATAAATGCTCTTATTTTACTTATTGGCTCAGTAAAACTTCCAAAACATTCATACAATAAAAATTTGTAATTGTTATTAATTGTGAACAGCGAAATCTATGTAAGAAAATTTTAACAGAGAATCATGAGAAAGCAATTATTTTTGGAGTGAGTATCAATGAAAGTAGCGTTGCTTCATGTTGCTTGAAACCTATTTTGCACCCTTCAGAGATAGGCTCAAGTTGATTTGAGTCTTTTGAGATCGTTTGAGAAAGTTTTATTGATTGAAGCTGATTTTTAAAAGTTAATTAAGAATAAAATCGATTGAAATCTATCTTTAAAATACAAAAACGTTTTCTTTAAATATTTTGGATACTCAACCATAATCACTTTGATCGATCTCTGAGTTAGAAAAGAAGCCGATTAAAATTAGATTTTTTTTATATGGACAATCTTCCCTAAAAAATAGTGAAGTTCGAACCGGGCAACTAATATTGGGCATACATGTATAGCTTATGTCAGTCATTGATAAGTTTCAAGTAGTATTAGTACGTGAGCTTACTTAATGTCGTTGAAACATTGGTACTCTCAAGTTTGATTGATTTTTTTCAATGGAAAGAATCATCTATCATTTGTGTCTCTTTAACTTTTTCGAACTCAACTGTTACACAAAGTATGTGTACCAAATGGCATAATGAAACTTACTATTCAATATAAGACTCAAAGATGTCATTAGATATTTTATTGCATATTTCTTTTCTAATAAACAGATTCTTCATCATTTTCTTCGTACTTGTTAATTTGTGCTCGAATACAGTTCGACCACTTTTGATTTTTTCTCGTATTTTATAACCCAGCGAACCAAATAACTAAACAATTCTTTATTCATTCGAATCTATTCGTTTCCTTACTCTTTTACAATAATGAATTCAGATTCGAGTCGATTCAACTCTTACTACTATAGTATGACTTTTCTATTTCTTCGTGTTAGTCACCTATTTCTATACTTGATTTATTCATACACAGGAAATGAGCATTGTTTGTTTACAAAACAAAATCTACACTACAAAGTAGAGTTTATAAAATGCGATCACACATCAAAGTTCAATATAGACAATTACAAGAACAGAGGTTTAACTAATATTTCAAAGATCAAAACATCACCAACAAGATGAGTCGATGAAAATAGGATCAGTGGTAATGCATAGATACCATAATTAGCTAAAACAATTTATTAGAAACTTAATAAATTCAACAGATGCACCAAAAAAACTGATAAGCTGAAATTTCTCAGATATCTCGAGTTGGTTGCAAATATCGGTTCCTTTTCTCATCTAATCATAGGGTTCAAGGTTGATATATCGTTTTTCTTTCTATTTGGAAAATTTATCAGGCAAAAGCATTCTTACTGAGATTGTACATCAGTCATCACCGAAACAGTCTAGAACGTATTCAAAACAATATAGAAATTATAGTGATTGCCCTCTATAGGGGCTGTATTATCTACACCACTATTGTTTTTTAATTTGTACTTGTGTAGCTTATGTCAGTTAATGATCAGTTTTATCCAATATGATCTCATTTATTTGATTAATATTTAACACATATTCCCACTGGAAGATTCAGCCACCATTTTTTTCTAGTCAGTCTCTCAAGAATTTTTAAAGAATACAAATGTGATACCTCTATTGGCATCCAAACTCACACCCACACCCACACTTTAATGTCTTTCTTAGAAGATTCAATGTACAACATTAAAGAGAAACATATATTATACTAGACAAGAATATATCTGCACACTCAGTCATGTTATAAAAAGAACGATTCTCTTTAATTCGAGGTTATCAATTAATTCTCAAAAAACATCATTCCGGATCAATCAATTGTCATAGTGCAGGTATCAATGATTGATGAAGGCCTCAATTTTTCGACATTTATTGTTCGCTGTCGTTGTGACAGCGATGATCGATATGCTGCTAACAAGATAGAAAAATAGCAAGAATGAAAAACTGTTTGCTGACAATTCCATGATTATTTGTGAAAATTTTGACACCGTAACAAGGCCAATTGTAAGCACAGTTCATGATCCTCCGTCTGTACATAAATGATTTGAACAAAATATTCATATCAGTTTAAACTAATGAATCGAAGAGTCGTTGAAGTCGAGTCAAATTGACATTCAGATTGCCGTTCTTATCAACCACAGTTGGCAAAATCCAATAGGATTGATTGAGTAGTTGAGATTGCATATAATAACTATAACCACTACATGGTCTGAATGTATGTGGATCAAACGTGGAACAAACAATCGGTAATGAACTCTTATCAGATCGATAAGGCATTAGTTCAATAATAATCGTGCCTGATGGAGCAAAATTCATATTCGATAGGGCTCCACCATGTACACCGAAGATGATACGAGCATTGTAAAATAATTCGACTTGCTTTCCAATGTGATCATTATGTTTCGAATGATCATATTGTACATAAGTCAATGAGTGCTTCGAGGCGTATATACGAAGGAGTTCAATAATGAGTTTTTCATTCAGAATGAGACGACCTCGATTCTTAGCATTTGCAGGTGTTCTTTGAACATAGATAAGATTAGGTTTAGATAAGATAGATTTCGATTTAGACAGATCCACTAAAGACCAATACATGGAACGAGCATCTTGCCAGAGACGAGGATGAATACCTGGTGTTCGACATGGATTTATCAGGAGATGAGCACCAACTTTCATACTACGATGATAATGAATGATTCGATTTGACTCATTCACCCCTGAAATATTTCAATTCAATAATGGTCTTTTCAACAATAAGACAAAACTCACCAAGCAAAGCCCAAATCTCTTTTACAGATTGATCGAATCGGGGACCTTGCAAAATGAGTACTTTTGCGTTTGGATATTTATCTAAATAGATTCGAGAATGACACAGTTTCGGTCCTATACCATCGAGAAAATGTTGAAAACTCCAACCATCTGGTACTGTATAAATAATAGCTTGGTCATAAACAACAGAGACATAATTCGTAGATACAAATATCCGTCGAAGGGCTGTTTCATTATAATTATAACCACAAGCATCATCAAAATAAACACCATTGTTAATTAGAGCAACATGAACGTTGAGATGTTCCTTTGAATCATTGTAGAAAAATCCATTTGTTTGACATGCATCATTCGGACATTGTTTTGAATATCTTTTATAATAAGTCGTATTAAGAAACCAATCGCGTGCTTCATTATCGGGAAAATTTGGTAGAGCTATAGTGAATGGTTCGAGTTTAGACGATATTTGTTCGAATTCAGAATTCAATGCTGTGAAGAAATACTCTTTTATTTGCTTTTCTCTCCAAAAAGATCCATCATTCAAATACCATAATAGAAAACAGATTTGATTAATAATAACGATAGATAAAATACAAATGCACACAGATTTTAATAGGCGAAGTCGATGAAAATGCATCTCACTTTTTTCTTATCAGATGAATACAATTTCTAGAACAACGTAAAATGAGTTTTCTTTCCAGTTCAATTGATGCACAGCTTACATTCAGACCTTTTTCAATGGATAATATCGACACAGAATTGCATTCTTCATGTTACCAAAGCAAGATCGACGCCGTCGTACGGGAGTAGAGCGTGCGAGAAAGAAAGATTAAGCTTATTTTCTTCTTCGATTAGATGAAGGAAAAAATTTCTGAAAAGAAAGATGAAAGTGATCGTCCTCTTTCTGACCTTGAAAATGTGACATAGTGTGTGCAAATATAACTGGAAATATTGCTAATTGATAGAGCCGTCGATGACATGAGCAGCACTAAAAGCTTTCCACGTATAGAGTAACTTTACCTTGCTGATAAGAATTTTGAAGCATGTGATTCATTCACTGCGATGTGAATAGGACCAACTGCATAGTATATTCTGCAGTTAGTCAGAAGAATGATAACGATATGTTGACGTCACTTCAAATAAAACGTTCTTTATCTTTTTTTTCTCCAGTTCTCTCGACTAGAGTTGATTACAGTAATGCTGACAGAAGAAATTCAATTTGCCAGCGAGCTACCAACGATGTGTACATGATAGAAAGGTGTATTGATGAGATAATCATATTCGTATGACTGAGTTGTTAGTGAAACGTTTGTTTGCTAAAATTAATTGTCTTCCTTAGCGACAAATGCACCACAATAAACCAATATTTATAAGAAGCTAATAGAACAATAACCTTGATTTGGATTAGGTCCGTCTATATGATACTGAAGCGCAAAGACACAAGTCACTTGATCCGGCATTCTTCGTCTTCTGTCTTTAGATTATAAGTAGAACCATGAATAAGACACAGTGAACGGAGATATCACTATCACTGCTTTGTTGAGCGCTTTTTTCTTCTTCGCAAAGCTATACAACCTATGTAAAAATAAAACGGTATTTAACGAAATAATTCTTAAAATTAACGCAAAGGAATGCGTTAAAAGACAAATTAACGAAATTTCACGAAGAAAATTTCATGAACTTTCGTTATATTCCGAAAACTCATGTAGACGCATTAAATTTTTCATGCGTGATTGTCGTTTTAACTTTAACTAATTCATTATATATCGTTAAACGTTGCATTCATTTTCACGCGTTAAGAAGTTTAACGATATTTCTTGAGTTTTTTTATTTTTAACCAATCTTACCATGTTAAATATCGTTAAACTTGGTATTCATTTTTATGCGTTAAACATATTAACGCGCTTTCATGAATTTCTGTATTTTTCACGAAACTTAACTGATTGATTCTCGTTAAATCTAATAATTGTTCTCACGAGTGAAATATTCTAACGAGTTTTAATGAAAATTTTAATTGTTAACGAACACCATTTAATTATCCATCATTCAATCTACTAATTGTTTTCATGTGTACAATATTCATGATTTTTTGTGTAACATATTTGTTTATGCACATTACACAAAAATCATCTTGAAAGACTTATATTTACGAAATATCAAGTGTGTCTGTGAACTATATCAATCCGGATATCAAAAGCTGTTTATCAGATTAAGCAGAACTCTCCTTTAGAGAAATCTCAACTTTGTCTTAATCGCTAGCAAAACAACTTGAATTAATTCTAGACAAAGATAGTCCTCTTTCATTTTTTCTTTAAAGTTTACTATGGGTTTTATATCTAAAGGAATGTAATTTTGTACTTCGTACATCATCATTTCTGCTCCACATGATAAAAAAAAAGTTTAGCGAAATAATTGCTCTAGTTAAGGTCAAAAGTTGCCTTAAAAGGCAAATTAATGAAGTTTCACGAAGAAAATTTTCATAAATTTTTGTTTGATTTGGAAAATTCGTTTTAACGCGTTAGATTGTTCACGTTTTTTCACGTGTGATTATCATTGTAATGGTAACTAACTCGTTATATATCGTTAAATGCTGCATTCGTTTTCACACATGTGATATTTTAACTTTCTCACTCGAGCTACATGCCATCTATATAAGTGTGTATTGATATAAATTCCTCTTTTACGCTATTGAGCTAAGCTAAATTAAGTTTTTCGCTTATAGAATCTAGATCTAATATGAAAAATATGACTGGTTCACTTCTGTTAAATATGTAAGCTGATACGCTAAGTTAAGAGGAAGGGGATAATTAAATTATATTAGTCTGTGTAATCTGTCTTTCTATAGTTCAAGCTAATAAATATATTACTCCTTAGGATTTATCATACATTGTTACTCACCATCCATATGATGAAATTTCTTCGATGATAAATATCTTGCTAAGTTTTACTCGTCTGAGGAGAAAAATCCAGCTAATCAATTCAATATTAGATGTACTTTCTAATAAGATGCTTAAGATAACATTATTATCACTAAAAATATTTCATAATTGATAGCAAAAAAATCAAAGAGTACAATATTTTGTTTTTTACTTCGTCGATATCCCGGATTTTAAACTAGTAATAGTCTTATCATTTCTGTCGACTATGAAATACATTTCTGGTACATATAAGAATGCAAAATTGTAGCAAGTAAAGCCAGAAATAGTTTCAGTTTCGAGATATCGACAAAATGAAAAAATATATTGTACTTCCTCATTGGTTTTGCTACCTATTATGAAATATTTATAGTGATAGCAATGCATTCTGAAGCATCTTATTAGAAAGTACATTCAATATTGAATTGATTAGCTGGACTTTTCTCTTCAGACGAGTGAAACCAAGCAAGACATCGATTATTGAAGGAAGTTCATCATACTTGCAGTAAATAAGAATATATGAAAAATTTTGAGGGATAACATATTCATCAGCTTTCGTATTTAACGCATTTTCACGCGTTTCTCGATAAATTCACGTGTGAAGAATCATATATCTCTCCTGCTAGAAAACGATAGTTGTGCGCTTTATAACTTTGAGATGATGACATTGCTGATAAAAATGGATGATGTGAGGGTGGATGGGTCTAGCTACCGTTATCATGATTTCATCTTTGCTACAAGAATCATCAGACGATTTTTAATAGAGGATGCACATGGGAACATTTTCAGAAGTTTTATTTCGTGTTGAGTGGAATAAAGTCAGTACAGCATTTTTACGGTCATGAATTAAACGTATGAAAAGACGTGCGAAAGTATTACGGAGAAATGTTTTTTGACGTTGTGATCCAAAACGGATTTGGTGGTCGTTTCAGATATGGTCATCCTCTCACAAGCTCTTTGCTTGTGTTGCAATTATTGCAGTTGCCAGCAATAAATGTGGTAGACATGAGCTATATGACTGTGAACAATGTGTTCAAAACTGTATGAAGCTCGCATTTGTAAGCTTCAGTGCGTGTTTCATATTTATAATGTATAATAAGGTGGCGAAGTTGTTTAAATTTTTTTGTCGAGTTTTGATTGGACTAAGAGAGTCAATGGCACCTTTGTGTTCTTTCAAACAGATGGATGCTACTACCCTTGATGTTGTCTGATGTTCGACAGCTGTTAGTCTCGCTAATAGGTGTTTGTACAGAGCCATGAATTCGTTTTCATCGTTGATCAAGGATGTGGATGTGGGTGTGAGGTGGGTGCGGGTGGAGTGGGGGTGGGTATAGGTGTGGGGTGTAGGTGTTGACATTCTATTTAACCAAACTCACATCCACATCCAGACCCCACACCCCATATCCACATCCACACCCGCAACAACAGCCACAGCCCAAGCCCACCTACACCCCAACTCACACTCACGTCCCACACCAATATTCACATCCTCACACTCCCACACCATGGATCATTTAGCAAAAAATGAAGATGTAGTATGTGATCAGAGCAGAAAAAGTATATGAAAAACAATCAATCATTAGCAAAAAATGCACTATATATTTTTATCATGAGCCCTATATCACTTTTATATGGTTTAGTAGAAAAAATTATTATCTATCGAACTATGTTCTCAGTTTCTTTAGAAAAAGTGTCCCCGAACTAGATATATCTTCTCAACTGTTCAACTGTAGCGACTCTATCGCGAACATCTTGTTCAAATAGAATTAAACAGTAAAATTTACAATATGGCTCGATAAACTAGCACCATCATAATGTGTTTATTCTTTTTTAATGAAAAAAACTTCTTAATATTCACTTAGAAAAAAAATGTGTCCCAAATTGGAGTCGCTAAAAGTATATATTTTGATATTGATTGGATGATTCATTAGACTCTGCCCGTATACTAATGATGATTTTTTCTTTTTTTCTGTTTGAGCTGATCCCTCGGGAAAAATATGGATTGTGTATTTGCTCGTCATTTTACGATCAAAAGTCGTTGAGATATCGACCAGATCACATCGACTGATTTCTAAGTTGAGACTAAACATCAGGCTAGTTCGAAACTGACATCAAATGGATAAACTTAATCAAGATCTTTCATTGAACCCAATACACAACGACCTATACTATTCAAAACAAAATGCATGACATGATAACAATGATGTATTTATACAATCTAAGAGTAATTCGATCATTTTACTGACTGTCTCAGATTTGAGCTCGTTTCTATGTTATTCCATGTTACTCTGATTAACTATTGGTGAGACAGAGGGAGAGACCAATATCTCACAGGTATCTTATGTTTCGTCTTTTTTCGATAATAGAAATATCTTATTCTTTGATTATTTATTTTCTATTATTATAGGTCGTTTCATTTTCTCCAAATGTTTTTTTTTCCAGAGCAACTCAAATAAAAATTATTGAACTTTTTCTTCCATAAAAGTGCTCGTATTAAGTTTTCTACAGATATGTTATAATCTCATTGAATTACGAAAGAATTTCTGAGGCCATGCATCGATTTGATCTATAGGATGACATGAGTACAAAAGTGAATCATTTTTTGCTTTCGTTCTCTCTTTCAATTTTGTCGAACGAGAAATATATATTTCAGTTGTGCATCAGCATATTATTCATTTTTTTCCAATCACGATCGAGAAGCAGGTAAGGCGATACTTCAATT